CGACTCGTGTGGTACAGGCTGCGAGAGGTGTTACACTTTGTGCGTTAGCCGCTCTAAGAGAGAGGTCGGATAATGACGTCAGAACTTTGCGGAGTTTGCGGCACAGGTTGATGGAAAGGACGGATAGAGTGGCTCCGGTGTCGACAAGCGCCATGACGACGATACCATCGACTGACACTTCAATGACGTTAGCTGGACAGGGGCGAGGACTTGTGCATGGCGACGGGGACGCAATTCGTGCCTCGGGAACTGCGGCCGTTAGTTTTCCTGGTCGGTGGGTCCGGAACGGCGACGCATAGGGGAAAGCGAACGTCGACGTGGAGATGGGGAGCGGCGGGTCGGGCCGTGTGGACGATCAGAAGGAAAGGAAGAAGAAGGAGGGCTTGAAGGCGTAGAAGAAAACTGAGGGTCGAAAGAGGGCATTCGTCGAATGTTCTGAGCAGCCTGGCGACGACGACAATAACGTGCCACGTGGCCAACACCACCACAAGCAAAACATATGGGACGGTCGTCGTAGGTCCGCCATTGGTCGGAGTAGACTCCAACTTTCGGCTGGGGGGCAGAAAACTGCGGCCGAGGTGGTATCGGCATAGGCTGCGGTGAATAGGTCGGCGGCGAAAAGGGCGGCGGCGAATACATAGGCGCTGGCTGGAACGCAGGCTGTCGAGGTCGAGCAACGGCCTCGGCGTACGTGAGAGGTGCGGCGACTGGGGGCGGTTCACGGGCGGGAGGAAGAACTTGTGCTACCTGGTCTTGAATGAAGTCGCGGAGTGTAGATGTCAATCTGCGTGGTTAATCGGGTACGCAGGACATTGAAGAGCCTGACGAACGACCTCAGCGCGGATGAACTCTTGGATCTTGGAGAGAAGAGGGGCATGGTCTTCTCCTATGCCAAGGGTGGAAAGGCTGGACGAAGAGTCGTCGAGCACCGATGGACGTCGGGCTGAAAGACGTTGCCTGCGCAACTCGTCAAAACTCTGGCATAACTCGGTCAGTTATAGGACAGTGCGAGGACTCTTAGAAAGCAACATTTGGAAAGCGTCGTCCTCAATGCCCTTCATGATATGCTTGATCTTAAGCTCTTCGGACATCGACTCGTTGACTCGCTTGCAAAGGTCCAGAACGTCCTCAATATAGCTTTGAAATTCTCACCAAGCTGCTGGGACCGAGTATGTAAGCGTTATTCGGCACGGCGTTTGCGTATCTCAGGCCGCCCGAAAACTTGTGTGAGGCTCGTTTTGAAGACCGACCATGTAGGAAGTTCCGCTTTGTGGTTTATAAACCACAGCTTGGCCACGTCCGACAGGTAGAAGGAGACGTAGGCTAACTTGGCGGCGTCATCCCATTTGTTGTGAGTACTCACTCGCTCGTACATTGAAATCCAGCCGTCAACGTCCTTGTCTTCTGTGCCTGAGAAAACAGGGGATCTCGCAGACGCAGAGAACCGGCGCAGAGAACAGTAGGCGGTGCCGGTGGAGGAGTTGGAGCGGCGCTTGCGTCGGTAGGCATAATGGATGGTAAAATGCGATTCCGAAGCTCCAGGGTGATCGAAACCCAGCACCTCCACCACTTGTAACGGGGTTTATTTGCAGAGCAGTACGCAGAAAGCGAAGCGGTCAGCAGCGTCCGGCCAAGCGCAGCAAGCACGAGCTTATGCTGATGGCGATGCCCCTGATGCGCCGAGAAATGCCGCTGAAGCTCCTCTTCTTCACTACAATATATATATATATATATATATATATATGTATATATATATACTGGGAGTATTAATTCAATGGGCCAGCTAATAGTCTTCGTGAAAGTATACGGCATATGGCACAACGGGAGCTTTATTTCCCAACAGTTTCGGGAGAGGTCCTCCCTTCGTCAGGGCATGAGTTTTACTAACATACTAACTGCGGGCTGCTGACTCGTATGTCACGGGATCGAGTCCCGGCTGTGGCGGCTGCATTTCCGATGGAGGCGGAAATGTTGTAGGCCCGTGTGCTCAGACTTGGGTGCAGGTGGTCAAAAGTTCCGGAGCCCTCCACTTCGGCGTCTCTTATAATCATATGGTGGTTTGGGACGTTGAACTCAACATATAAATCAATCAATCACCGTGCTACTGTGTCGCCACTTGTCGGGCCCCTCTGAATTAATTTATGAGCAGCTGAGATACAAATTTAAGCCTCTGAAATTGGTAGTTGCAGTTGCCACGCTGGTCGTAAAATGTACAAAAATGATTAGAAAAATGTATAAAAAGTAAAACAGTACGTTCTTGAGCATTATTTTTTCAACAGCGCGACTTTTTGCTCTCCTGGCTCATGCAGGTAAGTAGTGGTCGTGGTACTGGCCCGGTGATAACGTTATCTTTCAGGGCCTCCACATTTGTTTCGTCGCATGACTTCAAGTTAGTGTGACAGCTAGGCAAGGGTACATATAAATCTAATGAATACCGATGTGCTTTTTAATGTTTTTTTTTAAATCAAAACAGTGAGCAAGCTGATGATCCGAGTCCCTGTTCTGCGCTAGAAATTGTGCAAGCTCGACTACACAGAAGCAGAGTAATTTATCTCATTAATGCATTCATGTCTGTTGGGTGTGTTTTAATCTTATAGATACTTTTAATTTTAATTGTGTTATGTGACTATTTTACTCAAAACCCTAGCAAAGGTTGGAAATGCAAATTTGAATTACGCGCGCTGGGCACAGTGTTATGGTGCCCTAGTTGCGTCCTACTGGTGGCGTCAGCACCCAGAGTTATTGGATAACTTTGATATGTACCATACTACCCTGTCTACCTAGTTAATATACTGACTCTATACTAGTTGCACGCCCGTTTTGTTTTTCGGCTGTCAAGAAACGTTGATCATAACAGAAGAATTCTAGTACACTATAGGTCCGTTCGATTCACCTGCACCGGTCGGAACCGGTTCACGGCTGTGCACGCGAAGTTCAGAAATTGTGCAGCGTGAGTTCAGCGGTGCAGGCACAGCACGACACCCGAAACAAATGACGATGTGCCGACAAGGTGTTGGCCTTATTTCTTTTCGGTTAATTTACACCATTCAGCAAACACCGACCTATGGCGAAACACACATGCGGACAGTTTATGAGGCGCAGACATCTTGGCGAAACACACCGCATTTGTAGAGGCGGGTATGGCGCCTAAGCCCCCTACGTCTAAGTGCTGCGTCGTCTGCTCAGCTGCACGCGCGCCTGCACCAAGCCGGCAGCGTCAGCGAAGGAGGTGCAGGAAAATTGTGAACCGGTGCTGCACCTCTTCTGCACCTTTCAAAACGAATGGCAGGGTTCAGCGCTCGTCATTGCTGCACCGCTGAAACGAATGGTAAGGTGCAGCACCTCGTGAACTGGTTCACGTGGTGCAGGCGAATCGAACGGACCTTATATATGCATTATACTACTACGAACGTTGGCTGTATTTGGCGCCACGGAGGAAGGAAAAAGGTAAGGAGAGGGCATGCCCAGCCGGCGCAGGGCGTAAAAAATGTGGCGGAAATGACATCATGGCGGCCATAGTCAGTAGGCACAATGGCGGCGTTGTTATGGTTACGTGTTGCGCAGTGAAGCTGGTCTAGCAGTGAGCTGCCGCGGCTGGCGGCGGAATGTGTGCCTCCCCAGGTCTCGTGCTGAGCCGTGGCGGACAATATCTGTGCTCTGCGCCGCGTTATTGGTTACGCAGTGTTCGTCTGGCTGTTACATTACTCTTAGCAACGTTTACAAATCTCTTTGTCCATCACGGGGTTTCAACAGTGCGTAGAACAAGTGCATATCCATGTGTCGTGCGGCGGATGACGCGGATGAAGCAGTTAGTGTTCAGCGAAATGGCGTTGGGCACCATGACGAAGCTGAATGACGACGAACGCCTTGAAGGTCAGTGACGGTTGAGCAGTGCTCCTGCTTGTGACAACGGACGACGCTGTTGAGCCCAGCAAGACGCCGTGAGGACCATGTGCACATACGTAGTTTCGTGTTGTGTGTGTACAGTAACAACTTGCATGTGCGTATTAAAACACCTTTTCTGTTCCGCTTGGTACACTCTCCACCAGCATTGCATGTAATCTCAACGTAACAGCAACCACGTTCAACTGTCACTAGCACCGTGCTCAAAGTCACCACGGTCGCAGAATGCTGACGCAGGTGAGTTTCACGCGGAACACGGACACAGTGGCATGACGCTGCGTCAGTCGCGTGGCGGAATGCAACCGTAGAAGGCGCACGACCGATCGTGTTGTCTGTACAGTTGCTGAATTATTGACGTGAAAGCACTCGCCGTTGTCAGTGCATCTAGCGCGCGTTCTTTCGTAGTTGCTTCGTTGTCAGCGAGCTGTTACTCTTTGTTATTACTCGGACGAAGTGATTTCGCTGAAGGTGTCCCGCTGGCTCTGAGTGATGAGCCCAGTTCCATTAGTTTCGGATCGTCACGACATACGCGCTGCGCAGCCCACGTGCTTTCCGAGTCGGAGAGGGAGTCGCGCCTTCTGCTTCGCATTCATATGTAAACAGGAGAGGAGAATTTGCCTACTCAATATGGCCGACTTCCGGCTTCATCGCGGCTTCACAACAAGTGACGTCAGGGCCTCTCCTTACCTTTTCCTTCCTCCGTGTTTGGCGCAGTTTTCAGCGTCCATGCTTTCGCGTCTTTGGTTGACTTGGTCCCTTTTGGCTAGAAAAATACTTCAACATCTTCCATCTCATTTATTCAATTTTTTTCCACGTTTTTTTTTCTTTCTTCATGATCTCGCCACAGAACACGGAACAGTTTCTAGAACTAGTTCTAGAAACGTTGGGCCAAATGGTAGTATATATGTGTTCTGTGGTTAGAGTGACCCACGGAAGAAGGAAAGGTTTCCTTCCTCCGTGTGAACCCAACCACTACTGTGGTTGGGTTTACAACCACGATGGCCACGACCTCTAGTGCTAACAAAACACAGTAACAATTGTGTTGGCTCAATACTCACCACTATTACAGTTTTAGCAGAGTTCTCAGATGGCGCATCGATCGGTTGATTTGTCGGGGAGTTGTTCAGAGCTTTTTGAATTGATAATGATAAATCTCAACGACGGGCGACGGAGTCTGTGTCCACGATGAATACTACTACAGAAGTCAAAGTCTGCCTTCTTGGAGTAAGGGAGTGTCACGATATGTGAATTCTGTTGTTTATGTGTAAAGTGGAACTGCGCGAAAAGTCAGCTGTTGGCTGTTAGCGCGTAACCTGTTGCTAGATGCCATGTGATTTCTATGGTTATGACACATTTATGTGCTGGCCCGTACGCTACATACCTCGTAGTCCTGCATCATACCTGACTATTTATTAGTGTGCAGTGTTCCATTCTTTCTGAGAACCCGCTCAATGCTCATCGGGCGGGTTTCCTTGGCTTGCAGGACTCTGGCGTTGGGAAATCCAGTATCCTTCAGCGGTTTGTGTACAATACGTTTAATTCCAGTGCGGAGAGCACTATAGGGTGGGTATTCATTTGATAACGTGAGTCGCCCTTATTTGCTTAGTGTGCGATAATCGAATATCATTTTCTCCGAAGTTTCCCTGATACGTTTCGATGAACTGCTGAAAACATGCTGTTCGCGTAGTTGGCGCGATTTTTTGGTGTTTCGTAGTGTTCGCTTTGTATGCAGTTTCATTCATACTTTGTACCTAAGGTCACATTGCCAATCACGCTCAGTCCGTGCAATGCATAGGAAAAATAAAGGCAATAACGCACTAGTTTTCAGCTTAATTTATTGACGTATTTGTACGGTAACACATTTCATACGTTGTTAACACCGTAAAACTGCTGCGCAAATTATAATAATGCATCTGTCACACTGACAGTTTCACCTTTCTTAAAGTATATCTGTATCAAAATTTTGCCGCATGACTGAACAGCTTCTAAGGCAAGCATGCTTCAGAACAATCTAGCAGTGTTGATCTACATTTGTGCATGCTCAAATGTTCCTGTGTGACATATGCTGAATGTTCGGCCAAGAACCAATACGTGCCTTAATTGACTGATTTTATGTATAATGAATAAGTTTGCGATAATTTAGTTATGAAATAAGTTGCTATTCTTTTTCAGTTTCAGCACGTGATGACAAAACTTGCTTTTTGGCTTGTCAGTTTGCTGCTTTTAAAGGGAAGAGCAGGCATCATTACTGTCTTGCATCACAGTAGGGTGAACAGCCCCATGCGATGTGAAAACTGTGTGTGTGTATGTGTGTGTGTGTACTTTGAATAAGTGGTATGTGCATGGTAACTGAATACATAAGTTGCAGCCCACTACCAAATCTTTGAAATACCTTGTTTTATATGTGGGCCACTTGAAGTACATACTTCCATTTAATTCCATGGTATTGTTGGATTGTAGGGCATCATTTATGATGAAAAACCTGGTGTTGCATGACCGTACATTCAAGTTTAACATTTGGGACACTGCTGGCCAAGAAAGGGTATGCAATGTGTTTTTCATATGTCATTATGTTTTAAATGAACATATTCAAGTTGGATTTCTTTTTGTGTTGTAGACTTGTGGGGCACGCTGAGTTATATGACAAACTTTTAGGTGCTGTGGAAGCAACCGGTCACCATGGCGGGTCTGCACCAGGGTTCTGTTAGTGTTGTACAGCATGATATCCATTTTTGTCTTTAGTGCAAGAATATTCCATTATATGCTAACATAGAGGCGTAGCCAGAATTTTTTTTGGGGGGGGGGGAAACTTTTTAAAATGGTAATTTTTCACTCTGTTTGCCATGGTGGAAATTTTCGGGAAAGTGGGGGGCACAGGCCTGGTGTGCCACTCCCTGGCTATGCCCCTGTGCTGACACTTTGCACTTCTATGAGGAGAGCAGTGAGTCAAAGAGGACACTTGGGTATCTGCTGACTTGCCTTGCACCTCTTTAGTGCTGCCACTTGCTAGTAGATACGAAAGGTTTCTTAAAGTAAGAGAAACAAAAAGTTGCAAATAAAGTATAGTTAGCTCACAAATCATAATGTTCATGATGGTAGTTGTGTAAGATCCGCGATACTGGTTGTTACTGAGAGTGCATGTTGAATTTATTCTTGGCATGATTCAAGGGATATATTTTAAAGGTAAACATATTTTGTGAAATGATTGCGTGTACATTGCACTGCAATTTTAAAAAGTATGCTCTTTTTTATATCCCGCATTACTTTCCTGGTATGGATACTATCAGCATCTATTAAAAATATTATTATAGCACTCAATCATGATATTTTTGTTTTCCACGCAGTAAATGAATAATATTCCCAGTGAATTTGATTTTAGAGAGCTGCAATGGGAATAACAAATTGTTTTTATAAAGGATATCTTGAGCATTTTTATTTTGCATAGTTGTCTAACAAAACTTGCAAAAAATATAAAAAAAACAGATGTATTGTTTGTACGTCAAATGCTCACATTAATTTGCAGTATCGAGCTTTGGCGCCAATGTACTACCGAGGTGCGGCAGCTGCTGTCATTGTTTATGACATCACGTCCATGGTAACTATCCCAAGATTTCTTACATACGGGGCCTTGTTGTTTTGTTGTTGTTACACAGTCTTTTGGCTACTACTACTTTCTGCAGAAGACGTCAATCTTGTTGTAGAGTAGATGAGAAATTCACCATAGTCTAAGGAAATACCTGAACATTGCTGTTTGCTTTGAATGATATGTTCTTGTGCATCTGTGGAGCCATAGAGACACGGGCATGATTGTAGTAGCTGCTCTCGCATTCGGCTTTCTGTGGTTTGCAGTGTACCGTGTGAATAATCTGCACATTGAATAGGCAGATGCTGCATAGCATGCTGTCCTTGTGTTGCTCACTCTTACTGTCCATGATTGATGATTCAAATATTTTCAGCTATTACAGGTCCCACCAAATATTCCAAAGAACACACATACAAGCTAGTTCAGTCGCATCGTCATGCTCTCTGCTTGTGTTTTAGCATGTTTTGTGTGTGATCATATTGTCGCTGATTATATTTGTACATTTCAGGAGAGCTTTAATGCAGTGCAGAGTTGGGTGAGAGAGTTACAGCTTCATGGGGATCCAAACATCGCCTTGGGTATTGCAGGCAACAAGTGTGATTTGGACGATCATCGAGAAGTGAGTTTAGCAAGTGAGTTATCACCCCTCCATTTCATCATTTCTGTATGAGGACCTGTCTGCATGTACCATAATGGTTTAGCTTCTTAAAAATTTTATATCATTCACATAGTTGAATTATTGCATTGGTGATGGTTTGAATTTTCACATGATATAGAAAAAAAAAGGAAGCCACTAATGCAACTTCCTGAAATGTATTCCCGAACACAGTGATAAAAAACACTCATGTTTTGCTTGTTTTGCTGATAGTCCTTGCTTCTGTGACAGACTTAAAACTTTATATGCAAGCTGATTTAAGAACACCTTGCTCGATGTAATTTACTTCATCTGATTTTTTTTGCATCACTGTAGTCCAGCACCACAAGAAAAAAAGAATTACTCTTTTGTATCAAAACAATACTCTTTCAGGCGCTAGAGCACTGCTATTCACTCTAGGTTTTGCAGTTTTGGTGAAGTGTTACAGTGTCAGGATATCTCGTGCACAGATGGGGCAAAATAAATAGAATGCATCACTTTGTTTTGGCCAAAATGTATGGTAACGGCCTCTGTAGCATTTGGTGTGTGGGTTGTGGAAGTCTCTGCTGCCATTGCAGTTTGGAAAACAGTTCATTCTAATTAATTTTGTGAGAATTTATTGCATCTTCTTTTTTTTGTATGTGCCCCTGTCATCAGCTGGAGAGTCGTACGCCCATCAGCATGGTGCAGTTTTTGTTGAGACTAGTGCTCTTAAGGCTACCAACATCCAGGAGCTTTTCATGGGAATCGGTGAGTGAAAAAAAAATGTGTATATGAGAGCAAAAACACATCACACTTGTTGGAAGATATTGCCATTCTGTCAAGCTTTTTTATTAAAATGAGGTTCTTGCTTATAATGCATGGTTTGCTATCAGCAAACAAATCTTTCAGGAATCTTCTGAATAATCATTTATGTCTTCACCCATTTGCTGGGCAAGTTGAATCGGAGTGAACTGGAGGAATTACTTATCTCTGCTTTAGCCGTTTTTATCACCCCCGTGTGTAAAACACGATGTGCCGAGGGTTGTTATTGATTGGGACATTACAAAAAACACGACGGCCAGTAGTGCGTAACCAGGGGGAGGGGGGGCACATCGGGAACGTGCCCCTCCCCACCTCTGAAATTTTTCTTCGCCATGGCATATATAGCTCAAAATGACCTTTTGGATGTGACCCCCCCCCCCCCCCCCGAATGTTTTTAAATTTCTGGCTACACCCGTGGCAACGACAAAAATCAATCGAGATAGTCCGTATAATTGCTATCCTATCGAGAACAAAATGGATGTTGCCTTCGAGTTGTCGTAGGCGTATGCATAAGGTACTCTGTGAGTTTTTTTTGTTTTTTTATGCACTGCTTTCTAGAGGAGACTGTAGAGGGGTTTTGGAGTATAGGGAGCTTGCCTGAACGGCGGCGACGCTGTGCACTTTGGGTAGGCAGCCATATTTTTGTCAGAGGCGGCCGGGGAGTGCAATAGCGCAGTCGTGTTTGCGAGCGTTGGCGTAGCTTGCAAGCGTGATCGAGTGTGAGCGCAATGCAAATTTAACTCCAAGAAGTATCGAGCACGATGTCAGCCTCTCCGGAACACTACACCACAGCACTGTGCCAGAAAGACCTCGAGTGGTACGAAGAAAAGACGAGAATTTTCTCCGTGTGGACCCATTCACACTTCGTGCGGGCGACTGTGTAAGTGACGTGGACTTGTGGCCACGCGTCGACAGCTCCGATATTCATGAATTTCTTGTTCCGACGACGAGTTTGAAAACCCGGGAGCAGATGCAGTCCAGAAAGGCCCTCGAGGGTCACAACTTTTTGAAGAGTGGCTGGTTGTGGGAGCCATGGGTGAAGAAATTCACCGCCGACACCATGATCGTCGTCACTCAAGTAAGAGGTCTTAAATTACTTGATTTTGCCATAAATGCTAATGTTTGTTTCTGGTCCGATTGAATTCTCAGTGTGTTCACAAGGCCCCCGTCGACGTCCTGTTCATGGGCAAGAGTGATGGCGAGATCCTTGCCGCTCACTGCACATGCATGGCCGGGAACAGCGAAGCCTGCTCGCATCCCACTGCGTTGTTATTCTATGTGGAGTACGACGCACGTACACGAGAAGAGCATTCTCAATTTTTTTAGCACGTCTTACTTGAGTGACGACGACCACGGTGTCAGCGGCGACTTTCTTCACTCACGGCTCCCGCCCACTCTTCAAAAAGTTGTGACCTTCGAGGGTCTTTCTGGACTTCATCTGCTTCCGGGTTTTCGAACTCGTTCTCGGAACGAGCAATTCATGAATATCGGAGCTGTCGATGCGTGGCCACAACTCCACTTACACAGTCGCCCGCACGAAGCGTGAATGGGTCTACTCGGAGCGAATTCTCGTGTCTTTTTCGTACCACTCGAGGTCTTTCTGGCACAGCGCTGTGGTGTAGTCGTCCGGTGAGACTGACATCGTGCTCAACACTTCCTGGAGTTAAATTTCCGCCGCGCTCGCACTCGATCGCGCTTGCAAGCTAAGGCAACCCTTGGAAACATGACTGCGCTGCTGCACTACTCGGCCGCCTCTGACAAAAAAATGGCTGCCTACCCAGAGTGCATAGCGTCGCCGCCGTTCATGCAAGCTCTCTATAGACAGAATGCCATAGCCACATAAAATACTGTTGCGAAAGGAAAATGAACTTTTTTAAATTGTGTAGTTTCAGCATAGAGATGAGTGCCGGAGGTGGTTGGCTTTCTGAGGCCAGCTGAATGATGTCATATTACGCCCAGTAGTCTAGTCAGTCGTGAAAAAAAAACAAAACAAAAAAAACTTTTTTTTATTCTTGAAGTCATCTTAGGAAAATGGACTTGGGGACTGTGTGAGTCTCTAGCGATGTACGTCACTGCGTTTGTCTACCATATCTGCTGATAACCACATAGGTGTATTTATATTGTTACTTCATGGTACACTTTTATTCAACCAGTATTCTGTTTATTTGCTACAGAAATAATCACTGAACAAGTTTTTTCAGAATGCTCAACAGCATGATGCCATTATTCTTGCATCGTCACCTGAAATAGGGTGTACTTCTAGGATGATTGGCTCCATGAAATTTGCAATGAATCTAAATATTTCTAGCTCTCACATGAGCGCCAGAATAATTTTTCATGCCCTTGAATGTAAATGTAACTTGCTTCTCCTCGAGGATTTGAAGTTAGCTGCTCCAGATTGCTCCAATATGGAAAATTTTGCTGCTCCGAAGTGCTTACAAATAGAAAATTTTGCTGCTCCGAAGTGCTTCAAAATGAAAATTTTTCTGCTCCAAAAACTGCTCAAAATTTGAAGACCTCGGTGGCATCACTGTATATGCGACCTTTTGTCTGACATAAGCATACAAGCAATACCAATGCTGCTGGAGACTGGCTGAAAAGGCTATCGCGACACTTCAAACCTGCGGTGGACTATAGTAAATATTTTTCGTAGGATAAATTTTCCCAGACTCCTAGCAACAGCTGTCTATTGAAAAGCTAGCATTAGTTTCTGGCAAATATTACTGCTAAACACTACCAAATTACGAAGCTGACGCTGTAATGCGATATTTGGCTTGCAAAGGTTCCTTTAATTATATAACTTTGATGTTACTGCAGCATAAGCACAAGGGGCACGTACTACTGTCAATTTCGCCAGCCCATTGCACTTTTCCAACAATATACACACATTGGTTCGCACAAAGGTCTGTAAAAAATCACTATGTTGCCGAAAGAGGCATATTCAAATTGATTTTGAAAGTTGAGAGGTTTGACTAACTACTTGAAAGTTCTGCGTGCACCAGAAACAAATTTAGCATGCTAAAATCAACAATCCAAAGCATTGATCACTGGTGATCGATATGAGTAGGCGTGGTAATAAAAGAGTTAGGAAAAGAATATTAGAATTGCTTTACCATAAAAAAATGCCACATATACATAAACTGTGGTAAGCTCGTATACTGCAGTGACTACCAAAAAAATTTTACAGAAGAGCTTACCCCACTTTCACTGATAATTGCATTCATTCTAGACATGAGTGCTTGTCTTTTCGTAGCAGCAAAAACCCAAGATGGTGACCTGTGGGGAACTTCAAGACATGGCTACAGTGGCTATTTAATCAGAAGAAAGCATGTGTGTTTTGAAGTTGTAAATGATACATTGTCACTGAAGCCAACGAATTACTCTTCCAAGTTGGGCAAAATAGAAGGTCAAAACATTCGTCGCCGATACTTGCACGGCGTAAACAGAGCATGGGCTCTCCAGTGCCTGCAAATTGGTTAAGAAAGTTCCTGTGCTCGCTGCCTTCCCATGCAACACTGCTCTAAACGAGTCATGACATGGTCACCCAACAATTGAGGGTTTTCTTGTACACGGGTGAAAACTGGACTGAAGGAGATTATTTCACTCTAAAATAAGCGGTAGAAGTCATTGGCTGTAAACTCTGCCCGCCGCCGGCGACTGCAATTTCTTCATGGCGTGCGTGACGTCAAAAGCCGAAGGAGCAGTGTCGTCGTCGGCTACCAAACAGCACCTTCTGCAACGGTCAGTGTTGAGAGAGTTGCTCACCACGTGGCCTGCAGTGGGTTGCAAGTGTTGCGGTGTGTTACCAGAACCATCACCATATGCGGCGACGACGTCACGTTCGTTGCGCATTTTGACTTTGACTCCATCGCCACCAGCTCAAGAAACGAAAAAAGCGTCGAAGGCTGTGAGAACCAAAATGCCAACAACCTCGCCGTTGTGGCAGACGTTGCCGATGGCTTTCCGCGATAAATAGCTTTATTTCAAGCATGTCGCGTTGGAAAGCGAGCTCGGGATACGGGGTCTGTCGACACTGCATTGGCGAGCAAGTGTTACTTAGCGCCGGGGAAATGGCAAAGCGTGTAGATTTTTGTTCACTAGCATACGTGCATGCACAACTATCGGTTCTGAACATAATAAATAAGTGGTTGTAGCAATGCTGCGTGTTGGGACCGTTCTTTTTCCATCGGTTGTTGCGTGCGGCATATGTAAATATAAGCCAAAGCAAATGGCATGTCAGTGCGGCACAAGAGTTACTGACAATATACATTTTTGCTGAATCTTTGCTTGAACTGTTGGTTCCAGTAAAAAAAAATAGCAAGTGTGACTCTCAACCAAGGCACTGCCTGTGAGGAGTTTCAACAAATATTTATCCGTAGTGGCAAACGGCATATGCATTGCACATTCACAGGACAATTTGGGACCTATGAAGTTGCTTGCTGCAAGTACCAGCGCTACATGGGTGACACGGCAGCATTGTTCCAACCCCTGGGACGCATTTAGTTCCAACACCTGGAACTCATTTACTTCCAGTGGCAAGTTGAACAACGCAGAAAAAGTTCGATTGCAAGGGCAGCTGAACATGGAACACGATCGTCGTCCAGAGTGCGGACCATGCAGCAACTCACCCAGCAAGCAGTTCGTGACATCACGTCTAGCGATTGCGCCAGTGTTGCCCGACTCTCAGGCCGCTCGCTTGTTTATAAAAATAATCGATTAAAAATTAACGGCTCGACCAAATTTTCTCAAATTTTCCAGCTTGTCTGGGGGCGTACTAGAATCAACGCACACAAAACAGATTATGGTTGAAAATTGGGTGTCATGACCCCTTAAAGGATTCAACAATTCTTTTTCTTTCTGTATTGAAATTCTGAAAGGTGAAGGACACATTTTTTCTCAGTGTGTGGTGCCACTTGATGACTTCAATTTTCCTGGTGACAGGTTAG